TCCTTAATGGATATCTTAAAGAAGAGTTGTATATGATGCAACTAGAAGGTTTTGTCGATCCAAAAGGTGCTAACAAAGTGTGCAAGCTCCAGCGATCCATTTATGGACTGGTGCAAGCCTCTCGGAGTTGGAATATACGCTTTGATAGTGTGATCAAAGCATATGGTTTTATACAGACTTTTGGAGAAGCCTGTATTTACAAGAAAGTGAGTGGGAGCTCTGTAGCATTTCTGACATTATATGTGGATGACATATTGTTGATCGGAAATGATACTGAATTTTTGAATAGCATAAAAGGATACTTGAATAAGAATTTTTCAATGAAAGACCTCAGTGAAGCTGCTTATATATTAGGCATCAAGATCTATAGAGATAGATCAAGACGCTTAATTGGACTTTCACAAAGCACATACCTTGATAAAGTTTTGAAGAAGTTCAAAATGGATCAAGCAAAGAAAGGGTTCTTCCCTGTGTTACAAGGTGTGAAGTTGAGTCAGACTCAATGCCCGACCAGTGCAGAAGATAGAGAGAAAATGAAAGGCATTCCCTATGCTTCAGCCAAGGTTTATAATGTATGCAATGCTGTGTACCAGACCTGATGTGTGCCTTGCTATTAGTTTAGCAGGGAGGTACCAAAGTAATCCAGGAGTGGATCACTGGACATCGGTCAAGAACATCCTGAAATACCTGAAAAGTACTAAGGATATGTTTCTAGTTTATGGAGGTGACAAAGAGCTCGTCATAAACGGTTACGTCGATGCAAGCTTTGAGGCTGATCCGGATGACTCTAAGTCACAAACCGGATAGGTATTTTTATTGAATGGTAGAGCTGTCAGTTGGTGCAGTTCCAAGCAGAGCGTCGTGGCGGGATCTACGTGTGAAGCAGAGTACATAGCTGCTTCGGAAGTAGCAAATGAAGGAGTCTGGATGAAGGAGTTCATATCTGATCTAGGTGTCATACCTAGTGCATCGGGTCCAATGAAAATCTTTTGTGACAACACTGGTGCAATTGCCTTGGCAAAGGAATCCAGATTTCACAAGAGAACCAAGCACATCAAAAGACGCTTCAATTCCATCCGCAATCAATTCAAGGAGGGGGACATAGAGATTTGCAAGATACATACGGATCTGAATGTTGCAGACCCGTTGACTAAGCCTCTCTCACGAGCAAAACATGATCAGCACCAAGACTCCATGGGTGTTAGAGTCATTACTATGTAATCTAGATTATTGACTCTAGTGCAAGTGGGAGACTGAAGGAAATATGCCCTAGAGGCAATAATAAAGTTGTTATTTATATTTCCTTCTATCAAGATAAATGTTTATTATTCATGCTAGAATTGTATTAACCGGAAACTTAGTACATGTGTGAATACATAGACAAAATGAATGTCACTAGTATGCCTCTACTTGACTAGCTCGTTAATCAAAGATGGTTAAGCTTCCTAACCATAGACATGAGTTGTCATTTAATTAATTAGATCACATCATTAGAGAATGATGTGATTGACTTGACCCATCCGTTAGCTTAGCACTATGATCGTTTAGTTTATTGCTATTGTTTGCTCCATAAATTATACATGTTCCTATGACTATGAGATTATGCAACTCCCGAATACCGGAGGAACACTTAGTGTGCTATTAAACGCCACAACGTAACTGGGTGACTATAAAGATGCTCTACAAGTGTCTCCAATGGTGTTTGTTGAGTTGGCATAGATCGAGATTAGGATTTGTCACTCCATGTATCGGAGAGGTATCTCTGGGCCCTCGCGGTAATGCACATCACTATAAGTCTTGCAAGCAATGTGACTAATGAGTTAGTTGCGGGATGTTGCATTACGGAACGAGTAAAGAGACTTGCCGGTAACGAGATTGAACTAAGTATTGAGATACCGATGATCGAATCTCGGGCAAGTAACATACCGATGACAAAGGGAACAACGTATGTTGTTATGCGGTTTGACCGATAAAGATCTTCGTAGAATATGTAGGAACCAATATGAGCATCTAGGTTCTGCTATTGATTATTGACCGGAGATGAGTCTCCGTCATTTCTACATAGTTCTCGAACCCGTAGGATCCGCACGCTTAATGTTCTGTGACGATCGGTATTATGAGTTTATGTGTTTTGATGTATCGAAGGTAGTTCGGAGTCCCGGATATGATCACGGACATGACGAGGAGACTCGAAATGGTCGAGACATAAAGATTGATATATTGGAAGGCTATGTCTAGACACCGAAATGGTTCGGGATAAGTTCGGGCATTTTCCGGAGTACCGGGAGGTTACCGGAACCCCCCGGGGAGTCAATGGGCCTTAATGGGGCCTATTGGAGAAAGAGGGCATCAGGCAAGTAGTGGGGCGCCCCCCCCTAGGCCCAAACCGAAATGGTTTAGGGTTTGGGGGGCCAGGCCCCCCTTTCCTTCTCCTCTCCTCCTCCTTCTTCCTTCTCCTAGTAGGAATAGGAAAAGGGGGGGGGGCAAATCTACTTGGAGTAGGATTGCCCCCCCTTGGGCGCGCCTCCTCCTAGGCTGGCCCTCTCCTCCTCCCCCCCTTTATATACGGGGGAGGGGGGCACCCCATAGACACACAAGTTGATTGTTTAGTCGTGTGCGGTGCCCCCCTCCACAGATTTCCACCTCGGTCATATCATTGTAGTGCTTAGGCGAAGCCCTGCGTCGGTAACTTCATCATCATCGTCATCATGCCGTCATGCTGACGAAGCTCTCCCTCAACACTCAGCTGGATCTAGAGTTCGTGGGACGTCACCGAGCTGAACGTGTGTAGATCGCGGAGGTGACGTACTTTCGGTGCTAGGACTGGTCGGATCGTGAAGACGTATGACTACATCAACCGCGTCGTCATAACGCTTCCTCTTACGGTCTACGAGGGTACGTGGACAACACTCTCCCCTCTCGTTGGTATGCATCACCTAGATGGATCTTGCGTGTGCGTAGGAATTTTTCTGAAATTACTGCATTCCCCAACAACGAGGCCCGAATGTGGGTAACCCCCTTGTGCGATCTCCCCTTTGGTACTTCCCACCACATTCTCCATCCTACCGAGGGTACTGGTGGTCTTCCGAACCGACAGTTAGCGTGCCAGGCATGAGCTGCACTGGTCGGAGAATGAACCCAGATCGGATCTCTGTTCATGGTCGACGCTACATGTTGGGATAAAACTTCACCTTCAGCTCCTTCGAGCTCGCCGTTGATTGTCAGGGGCTGCTCTATGACATAACATTGTTGGGCTACATCGACACCATACGTTTCGGGAGCCTCGCGTTCCACTTCGTTCGGCACGACGACACCGTATGTTTATTCGCCCCTCCATCACCACTGGCATGGGGGGCAAGGCTGGTCATGGCCAACCTCAGGATGGTTGGGCCTCCATTAACCCACCAGCTCACCCGATCTCAAAGCGCCAACATGATCTTCCAAGCCGCCGAAACACGTTGGGCCCAGAAGCTCACTTGACGCGCGGTCTACCCGATCTTGCTGGCCTCCACGGAGCCCATGGCAACTTGACTCTACGATCACCTTCGACCTCACCGACCACCTGACCTACATTCCTCATCCGAGAAAATTCGCCTTGGTGATATATCCGATTGTGGAAGATTGCTGACTTCCCCAGGTTCTGATGGATGGAGGCAGCAGAGTTAACATCCCACACCTTGCCTAAGATGGGGATCTCCAAATCTTTCCCGAGCCCTTCGCCATCGGCTTCTATGCTTTTGTACCAGGAAGGCCGGTGCATCCTCTCAAGCTCTAGAGGCCATCTTCGGAAAGGAGGAAAACTTCATATCAAAGACAATCCGCTTCGAGGTCGCACTGTTCCGCATGGGCTACAACGCTACCCTCGGCAGACCGGCCTATGCTAAGCTCATGACGCAACCCTCCTATGCATATCTCTAGCTCAAGATGCCATGGCCACACGACGCGATCAACATCCACGACAGCGCCGAAAGGGCGTTAGAGGCGGAGGTCGCAAATGTCAAAGCCAAAGCCGCCCTAGCTTCCACAGAGCTTGAGGAAATCAAGAAATCCATTGACCCAACCACTGCGACGCTACCCCGCAAGCCTAGGCAATGGCCGCCTTTCCAGCCGCCAAAAGAAGCAAAGAAGCTCCAAATACACCCCGAGGACCCGACGAAAATCATGATCATCAGCGGCAACCTTGGCAAAGAACAAGAGGCCGCGCTCCTAAAGTTCCTCAGAGACAACTGGGACATCTTGCCCGGAGGCCTGCAAGCATGCCAGGGTCCCAGCAAAAATCATTCATCATAGCCTAGACGTCAGAAAAGACAACAGGCCCGTCAAGCAAGCCCTAATGTCAACATCAAGCCACAAATTCAAAATCAAGGCACAAAAACTTTATAGTTGAATGCTCTTTTTAAGTACAAAAAAGTGGTACATATCATTTTGAAAAAAAACATACCCCAATGAAAGAAAAAAGAACATGAGGTCTGAACTGTAAGAACATGCTCATAAATATGAATTGTCAAGGGCAAGATGAAATGCAAGAACAAGCACTGATGAGTGATGATATACTGAAAAATTCCTTTCTTTGTTGTTGTTAGCCCTTGTTTTTCGAATATACATCGAGGCACTCAGGTTGTGCTCATATCTACAACCCAATCTCGTAGCTCTTTTCTCTTTACAACCTACAGACAGATCGAACAAATGGAGATTGCTATATGGTGGACTACCTACAGATTTACTAACTTTACAAAATCCCTCGCATCCTCTCAATTTCGGATCCTCTGGAATTCATTGTCATGAGGCACCTTTTGACCATTATATCCAGAATCGAACGGTTTGAGGCATGCCAGAGGGTTTCAGAATCTCCTGAGAAGCACCAAATGCTTTATTTCACTCCAGTTTTCATCATGACCATCAAATCATGATCATGCAGTCAACGATGCCGTGCCTTTGGTGCCTTTGTTGCACAAAGGCAGAGGATATGCATCCCTCAGTTATGTATGCTAACGCCTAGATCATATTCCATCTTGTTGGCACATGCAATCAGGCATTGGGAAGGTATATATGGAATCATTAGGTTTCCTGAATGCGATGCCCCTTATGTCACTATGGTGCAGTATTTCCAGCATGTGGTGCTTGAATCGACTCCATCTGCAGTTCAAAGAAACAATTTGAGTTTCATATACCACTATATCCATTTACACGTTAAGCAAAGATGGGCAAATATTCAGAGCATGTATGTGAAGGTCAACTCGGAGATGTATTTCAATTTGTTAACATGGCTAATGCGTTCTGAAAAGTAGGCAAAAGCTACAGTCTTGGATGGTGAAGGAATAACAAGGGCAGCGAACTGCTTCAGCAGTTTGATTTGGTGAAAGATTCCAGCATATACTCAAAAACTGAAACTGATTCGGTGTGATTTATAATACTTTGTTGACCATATAATGGCAGCTCAAACTGACCTGATATTTGGGTCGTCAAAAGATAAGACCAGCTTCCGTTTGTCGGGTTTTATTGTCTTTGCATTCCCTCCTAACAGGTAACGCCTGTGTCCCATCAAAAAGTGAGGGAAGTTCCCCCCTTGAGTCGTCACAAACACTTCGCTCTGAACACAGATGGTGTAATCTAATGCTGCTAACCGAGAAGAGTACCCCTACAGAGAATAGGTTGGTGAGTAACGGTATGAAGAATTCAATGTGAATTGATGAACAGTTCAATGCATGCATATTCATCTGACATTCAGAACGACATCCAGCTAGGCTGATGGGCTGGCTGGCGGAAACAATACCTCAAACTTAGCAAGCTCTTCAGACAATGCAAGAGTGTCCTTGGTCTGTAAAAGAGGGAACATCTGGCCAAGGGGAGCCATGTATTTTGCAGCATTGTATATTTTACCGGAGGCAACGTAGAGGAAAGTTGTATTGTCAAACCCCATGCCTCGCAGCATCATGCCAACCTGCTCAAATTCAGTCAGTTAACATATTAGCTTTAGTGAGTATATTTACATACTTGAAAGCTTCTAAATTTGTTCTGAATGCTACTAAAGAGACACAACTGATGGCACTGAACTTAAAAGGTTATTATTATTGACCTGAAGCATCACAAACTAAGCAACAAACATCAATTCTAGTATAACAGGCCTATTGTGATGTTAATTAATGTCCTGAAATACGAATGCATCATTGGGTGTACATATATCCACACAAGTGCTTTAACCAGTGAAAAAAAATCCTAACCTCTAGAGGAGTAAGCGGGCATTTCCCATCCCTTCTGTTTGCCTCGGGATTGATAACTCGACCAGGTCGGTGAAACTTCCCTCTCCAGCTCCTTTCACGGGCATTTTCCATTTCAATTTTCTCCTTCCGGCCACCATCATATGTACAGCATGAAAAGGCTACCATATCCTAAACAGTGTGCGCAAATTTTAGTATAACGGAAGAACTATGTAATAGTTAACTCACAAGAGAGAGTATATTGAGACCTCTTCGAAACGGAGATGCACCGAGACATATTTCCCACCAGCCAAAGAACTCCTTTTCATCATTCGAACAACCATATCGTCTGCAAGAACCCTTATTGGTTCGGCAAACCGCAGAGCCTCGTAGTTTACCAAACACCTCAAGGCCTGGATATTCGATGGAACTGACTGAGCCAATCTATTCGAGAATGGGGCAATGCGCACAACCCTGCATAGAATAGATATATAATGAAACCCATTCTCAAACAAGGCCTCTCCTATTATTTCTGAGGTGGTGAGCGTTTACCATACCCTAACTCCATTAATTTCGGAAGCACCTTCTGAACATAATGATCTGGGGATGAGTAGGCTTTAGTTCGCATATTTGGTATGCTGCTTATATTATGATTGAAACGCAGCAGAACATCTTTTGGGAGTTCCTTCACAACTCTTACATGTTGTCTGAGTGTCCCGATAAAACGATCTTCATCAAAAATATCACTAAATTTGCTGAGAAACAAAACATCAGGAAGAACCAATACATATTAGAACACGAAGTAGAATTTCAAAAATATTCACGGGTTTATAACTAACAGAAGTGAACTTTAGAAGTCAAACAAACTGCTCCAGACAATAAAAAAATGAGCAAGAGACAACTGCTCCAGACAGGCATCCATCATATAAAAATGCAATTATCTAATGTTAAGAAACAAAGCAGTGAGCAAACAAAATAGCATTAGTTACCTAGGATCACGCCAAACGCTATTCAAATGAAATATTGGGATCACAAGAGTTGCATTAAGCAAGCTGGCCACAGCAACTGCATCGCAGATCTGTATTGAGAAAAAAAAATGGAACTGCACTGTCAATAATTATTACTCAGCATAGTGTGAAGGTTCTAAGGACTTTACAAAATGAGACATCCACATCACAGCAAATGGTAGAGACCAGAGTCTAATTCTCAAGCTCTCAGGTCAGAAGAAATATATATCCCAACAGAAGATCAGATGGCATGTGACCAAAAAGATGAAAGCAAGTATCAGTGATCTTTGGATGAATAATACACCTATGTATGTACAAAGATAGTACTAATGCCTTTCCAGCACAAAGTTATTGATGAAAGCCATCTCAATCAAGTGATAGTACATGACTTCAAGTTACATAGTGGTGTCAATGGATTCATACGGCACTGGACTTTTGTATAGGTACTAGCAATGGTATTGCTTGCTTGCTGTATCTAACGTGGTCCAGGAACTTACAGAAAGACGCTGTTGATTCAGACCACCATTTGCTTCAACTATGAGATACCCATTTGAAGTCGGCAAATCTGTAAAGAGCCCAAAAACGATCCAGCCAGTCAGGTATTTAGCTTAACCTCCACTTTCAAGTGGGAACAGTTAGTTTATTGAAAAATAACAAAAGGTATGAAAGTGGAACCTGATGGAATCAGCCTCCTCTTGACGCATGGCATCCATAGCTCTCCAGAATTTGGATAACGTGATGTCATTAACTGCACCATAAATATTTTGATACGATTATTGATAAGAGCAGTTAGGTTCGATGGACAAAAGTGAATATGCTGGAAGTTCTTAGGACTGATTTAAGAAGTTGGTTCCTCCTTGCGAACATATTTGATACTCCCAACCTGAACTGAACAATACTAGACTCTGGAGTATTTTGGAGCAATATTACTAGAGTGATTTAACTCTGAGGTGTTAAGTTCAGAGTATTTTGGAGCAATACTAACTGATTTAACTCTGAAGTGAGCAGCTCATTTACACTGACTGCATTCACAACCTGCCCAAAAATCTAGTTAATCTTCCATCGGAATCGTAAGGAGTTACGGATATTTACTTCTAGACATTACCTTCCTTGTTTGGCATAGCAGAGATATACTAGTAGTACGGATTGTGATTGGAGGTTAAGAGGGAGACGGGGCCACCCCATGAAAATCAGGGGGGAGTGGTTAGTTAGAAAGAAAAAGGCTAGTCAGCATGTAATTGCGTGTAACTCTTTGTATGTTTAGCATTATTGCTAGTAGTACACAGGAGTACATCCAAGATAAGATCACGAGTGTAGCCGTACACAACGGAAATGCAGAGGCACATGACCTCGCTCACGGGAAGGGGAAAACTAGGAATCTAGAACTAAGACTTTTTGCGCAAATCACTCACACACCAAGAATACCAGCTCACGATGCAATAATGTATTGGGCGTCGTTCCCCTGATAAATCAGAGCAAAAGCACCAAAAGGGTTCCGAAATTCTCCCCGAATATTTCGCCTAATGCGTTCAGTGCATTGTGAAACCTGAAGAAGTAGAAGGATCGAACCGAAGAAGCAGGCAACAAGCACGCGAGAACCCCAAATCTCCCCAGGGAGAACGGTAACTGCAAGAACAAAGACCACCCACCATGCTGCGACGCCATGGAGAGGAGGTGGAGACGGAAGCGGAGGTGGCGGTCGAAGCGGACGCGGCGTCGTCGCGTATGTCCGGCCATAGCCGCTTAAACACGATGTGGCTGCGGTAAACCGATCCCGGCGGCGGTGGGGACGGGGCGAGCGCGCGCCGCCGCCGTAACGATGCCACCGTCACGCCCGCGTGGCCGCCGCCGTCGACAGAACCTCCGCCTCCTAAGACGAACATGAGCAGCCCCGCCGCGTATGCCAGCGCGAGGAGAAGGAGGACCACGGCGGCGCGGCGCCTCCCTCCGCCAGCGCGCCCTGCCTGGTGGCGCCGCGCGGCCTTGGCGGCACCGCAGCCGCCGCGCGCCGACGGGGCGACGGACATCTCTCGCTCCCTCAGTAGCGGGGCTCTCGCGGGATCATGCGAGCTCTGCTCAGCTCGGCGATGGAGCGGGTGGCCTCGTTGGGGGCGCCGAGGTTTAGCGCGGAGGGCACCGGAGGAGGAGACCTGTAGTGGAATCGTGTTGGCAACCGCCGGTGCGCGGATGGTCTTCTCCTATTGGTGGAGGTGGATGCTCGCCGACTTATTGACTGTCGACGTCTATGTGTCTTGATTGTTTGTGGCATAAGCGAAATTCCGGCTATTAAACAGATCTAAATACAAACAAATATACACCATTCTATGTCTTGTCAACAAACTTAGAAATTCTACTTCGGTTTCGAAAGGAAAATCTATGAGAGAGCATTTAGATTATGCTCTTATATTTCTTTACAGAAGAAGGAGTTTGCAAACTATGTAGAGTAGATCAAATTCAAGAAGCGGCAAACACTATAAAATCGGTAAGCAACGAATTAATAGATCGATAATAAAGAGGAGTATTTATGCTAAAAGCACATTTCTCCCTGCTAGCTACGGGTTTTAGTGGGTGGCTTTTATTGAGTTATAGATTCATCTTTCTTTGGACCATTTTTTTATTGAAAAACGTTCTAAATCAGCTCACTCATCTATGCACCACGTGTTCTTTGGAAATCAGGTGAGGGAGGCTGCAGTATGACTTATCCTAATTTGGTCCACGCATTTTTCATGCCCGATGCCGCATCTCCTTCCTCACTAACGGATCTTCTCTCTATCTCTCCTTCAATAACAAATAGCGGTCGCTATGGCCTTCCTCACGTCCATCCCCGAGCTTCCCTCAGCCGGAGGAGCCCTACTTTCTGCCCTACTTTCTGTCTCAACTGTCGCACGCTCAGCTCCTTCCTGATTTTGTGGCGAGGTCATTGTCGAGAGAAGTTAAATCATGTATCGGCATGTCTTCCTTCACTGCCAAAATGGGGCCCCAAAAAACCCGATACACCCCACAGACACCAGAAGGCTCGTCGCCGCCTCGGGAAGAGGAATACTGTCATATCGCGTACCGGAAGAAGGAAGGACTCTATGAATAAGGAAGAAAAGACAAACCAACGTAAGGGTCAGACTCCACGCTCTACACACCCTATGCACTGACATGGAGGCCTTCCATAAGTTGTGCTTAATAAAGGGCACCAGGAGCATCGTAGAGGAGGAGCATCTCCCACACTATTGTAGTCTATACCACCTAGAAAGGATCTCTGAAGATTATCACCTGAATCTCCGCCATCTCATCGAGATACCTGTCTCGTCCAGATCCTCCTCGACATTGTAATCATTTGTGTTCTCAACATATATCAGAGAAAAAAAAGCAAGGCAGAAAGTAGGGCTTCTACCCACATCGGGGGCCTGAACCTTGGTATATCATGTGTTCATGTGTGACGCACGGATATTTAGGCTACAGTAATTCCCTATTAACGATGCCACGTCACCACGATTACTGTTGTTAACCTCTAGATGCATCAAATCCCGTTCGAATTCAAATTCAAAATCAAGCAAATAATAAAAGTTTTCAATTGTCAAAAATTAAATGTTCTAAGGTTGACCAATAAATCCTAAGTAATTATGGTGGTGAAACCACATTTTTATAATATGATTAGATGCACTAAATAAACTAAAACAACGATAAAACAATTATCTAAAATGATTTTAAAATAATAAGCACATGCAAAACACTTTATTTAAGGTGCCAGAATATTTGGGGCTGTGACCTATTAAATAACACCAAATTAGTTGTCACTTTTAAATTTTATAAAACTAAAATTAAAGAAAACTGAAAAGAAATAAAAAAAAGAAAAAAAGAAAAGGACCCCCTCCCCCCCCACTGGGCCACAGCCCAGCTGGCCGTTGGGCTAGCCAGGCCGGCCCAGCCGGCGCCCCACTCCCCTCCTCCATACCCCCACTCTGGGGAAACCCTAACCCGTAACCCCCACTCGCCCCACACTACTCTCTCCTTTCCCCCCCGACTCGATCTGGATCGGGGCATCCCTCGCGCCCGATCTCGCTCGTCG